ACACACACACACACACACACACACACACACACACACACACACACACAGGGTATACCAACGCTCCTCTGGTGTTGGACAGGAGAGACATGTGTGTGTCATGTGTGTGGAGAGGCAGGGAAAGATACATACTAACACACACATGGATACACACTACAAAGACAGAGCAAACACACACACAGACACACACAGAGAGGACATGTTCGTCCACACACACACACACACACAGTATTTGTCAGAGAGACCGCTATAAGAGAGAGACAGACAGACAGCCAGTCAGTCAGACTGATCACGTACCTTCCAGACAGCAGGTTCGCCAGAGGCCGGAGTGCGTCATCACCTCCTCGTTCTTGCGGCTCGTGTCGTTGTCGCCGCTGTTCTTCGCGCGGCAGACCCCGCGCGAGTACAGCCAGTAATCGGTACCGACGGCGATGGTCATGAGGCTGAAGGCGGCGAACGCGCCCACCGTCGTCACGAGCATCTGGACGCCGCGGTCACACATCAGCATCTTCATATAGGCGGCTCCTGTTTTGTCTTAATATCTGTTATCCGCCTCTCTTTTAGATTCACCCCCTTTTTATTTTATTGTTATATCCCGCGAGATTTTGGAGACTCGGAGTGAAAGGGTTCAACAGACAGGCACTCCAAAAAAAATTAATAAAATAATAGAGATATCGATGATTTTATTAGTGTGGAGCTGCCTCGTCCATTGGGTTGACAAAAGGCTCGTGGCAAAGGGCGGGAAGGTGGGAGGGCGGCACGTCACTTTCTCGCGCATCAAAAACCGGTTTTTACCACCACCACCACCACCCTCATACACACACACACACGCGCGCGCACACACACCGGAGGTTTAACGACCACCGGTTGTCCCCCCAACACTGGCCTCACTCAGTCACAGCGGAGGGTAACGGCGATGCCACATTCTGCCTCTCCTTGCCTCCTTCCGTTTATTAGTCCCGGGGGTTAGACGAGCTGCGTTAGAGCCGCGTTATCCACCAGCAACCGGAGATCTCCTCTCCTCTCCTTCCTTCCTTTCCTTCTCAACTTCTGCTCTTCCAACACAGCAACCTTATCAATCTTAACAGCCAATGTCTGCGTGGGGGGAGTCCATCTTTTAAAAACAACAACAAAAAGGGGGGTTAGTTTGTTTTTCTTGACCGGTGTAACCGCACAGCATTAAGTAAAAAAAAAAAAAGGGAGGCGGGTTTCTAAACGTGTGTTTCAACTAAAGCATGATTAGGCAGCTCGCCCCTCACTCACCGCTGGGTTTCGTTGGCTGAAGGATGTCCTCTTTGGACCAGATATGAGGCGGTACAGCTGGGTTTTTCCTGCTGAATTACTGAATGAATGGACGGTTGAATAAAGCCCATACGTCAGCTATGAAGAAAGCGCGGACGTTGACCGAGATCCGTCGTGTGTTTTCCACTCCAGCTGTTGACTCACTGACATGTTTTTTTTCTTCTCCCTCCTCGATGTCCAGATCAGCCGCTAATAGGCCAATAAATGCAGGTTTTTTCCTCACACATTATCTGCAGTGGAGAGACGTTGGACGGGCTGAAATAGGCACCCAAAAAAATGAAACCTCGACGGAATTAATGTAATGTCTTCTAGAAAAAAAACAGCTCTCTCTTGACCGCCGAAGTTCAACCGCACCGTGACAGACCGGGTCCGGTTAGACGCCTGCTGATGGAGCCTGCATGGACAGTTTACACCCGCCTGGGTTTTGCTCCCGAGAAACGTGCCCTGTTGGTACACATGAAAAAAAAATGACAGCCGTCGCCTCCTCCTCCCTCCCTCCTCGTCGTCCTCCTCCTCCTCTTCGTCTTCCTCCTCCTCCTCCTCTCGGTCCAACCAACACAAACTAAAACTAACCGCGCGTCTCCTCAAACTCCGCCTGAGGACGCACCGCTCTGCTCGGATTGGGCTCGTGGCTGACAGCGCCCTTCAGGAGCTAATCACGTATCCGTCATTTCCGCAGGTCCCGCCCAGCGCCGCAACGCCGTCAGTATAAAGCATGGGGGGGGGGGGGGGCTTCAGTCTAGAGAGGAGAGAATATGTATAGCTAAGGAGGGCTACTTCTTAAAGTGAGGGTCTCATCAGAGACACATATGTTGCTGTGTCAAAGCCCAGCATTGGTCAAACTCATTGTAGTTACACATTGCTTTATATCTAAGCATACGTGTTATACAAATAGGGATGTTGATCAGCTATGTTCACAAACCACCTGCCTCTAATGTCTTAAATGCAGATTTCAGTGTCTTTTTTATTAAGCAGTGCAGCACCGCGCCGCTTGCCGCATGGGGAGCTTCTGCCGCGTCTGAAGAGCTGTCCGTGGTGCTGAAAACGCGCCGTGGCGCTGTCCTTGGTCCTAGCGCAGCGTCCCCTCTGTCCTCCGCCTGCGCGGCGCCAGCAGCCCCTGCACCGCACTGATTAGTTAGAGGAGAGTAAGTAAAGGGGGGGGGGGGGGGGGGGGGG